TCCTGGTAGCTGCTAGCACTCCTCACCACCCCTTGGCTTGTGGCAGCATTAACCCCAGGGCCAGCCTGCACCACTCCGTGGTCTTCCTCCATCTCTCCCTGCCTCCTGTGTGTCCATGTGTCTCTCTGTGTGCCTTCTGCTCTTACAAAGACAGCTGTCATCAGCTTTAGGTCCCTTCCTAACTTCAGGATTTTATCTCTAGATCCTTAACTAATTACATCTGCATTTCTATATCCAAAAGTAATATAGCTGCAAAGACCCTGTTTCCAAAGGTCACATTCTGAGGTTCTGTGTGGACATGAGATTTGGGGCAGGTACCAGCCTACTCACTATGCTCACCATGTCTCGTTTGTGGTCCACCACATTGTTTAAACAACAGTCTGTCTGTGTCTCCCTCTCGTATATTCCTCATGGCTCCAAGCCTGGAATTATGTACAGATAACTTTTACCAAGGACCCATTGTCTCATCTATAAAATGGCATTGGGAAAGAATCAAGACTGACTTAGAACAAAGTGGTCCATGTACCGGTTTGGGCTTTTTCAAAAACTACCTGGGAATGTTAGAAAGTTAAGAAGTGATTTAACTTCTTAATGTCTGTGTTATCAGGAAGATAAAATGAATTAACCATAATATAAAGTACCTGGAGTATGATCCTGGCTCTTTCACAGAAGAACTATTTGACTCCAGACAAATTATTCAATTTCCCTTAATCGCAACTCCCTTATTTCTGAAACCAGAATCATGTATTGATGAATGATAAAATAAAAATCCTGTATATGAATATGCCTACCGCAGGAGAGTCGGTGGTTAACCTAATGACAGGTTTTGTTTGGCCAGAACAATGGACTTTACTTTTCACTTGAAGTTCAATGACTTTCAGCAGAGAAGAAAAAATATAATCACTTGGCCATAGGCTCCATTCTTCACTGCCTTAAAATGGGTTTATCTATCCTGGGGAGACTTTGCGTTTGTTAGCACCGTGCAGATACACAGCAAATATTCAGTCAACGAGGGTGACAACAGAGGCTTCCTGCCCCAGAACTGGCTGAGTAACTCAGCCTCAGGGAATCATTCCTACGCAGAGGGAGGCAAATTTCTATTATTTAAAATAACTCCATTTCTGGTAAGTCCTTTCTTCTATTTCCTTAAGTTTTATTCATTGACCTTAATTTTTACTCTGAAGACAATATTAATTAAATCTAACCCTGCACCTAGTCAACTGTCTTTCATTTACAGGAACACATCTGTTGTGACTCCCCAATGCATGAGATCATTTCTATGACAGCATCCAAAGGCATAATTGTAAATTACAATTAGTATACATCATTGAATTATCTATCTCACCACAGTCGAAAGATTGTCCAAGGAAATTTTTGTGTCATGAGATGATGGTATTTCAAGCTTATGAACAGTCAGCTCTCCTTTAATTTCTGGTCTTTGTGAGATAAGATAGGAAAACCCAATTAGTAACTCCAAATGTTTACAGGAAAAAGGACAGCCATATAGCCTTGTGCAAAATTAACAAGCCTTCTCCTTTGTCTACTTTACTTGGGCCCAAGGTTCATGGAATTAGAGTACTGAGCAATTTTCCTTCTCTTTTTTTCTTCTTACAATCATAATTTTTAAGCCAGTCTTAACCCTCGGATTCAGTAATAGGATGCATCAATAGTAAGCTTTCCCCGCAACCCTCTCAGCCCCCGCCACCTTAAGGTTGGGAGCCACACTGAAGATGCTAACTTCAAACTATGGACCGATGGTCAGATGTCAGGAACCTAGGGAATTGGACAGGGGCTCTGTATCAGCCTTGGTGTTCCTGATATTTAGAAAGCATGAAAAAAATAGCGATCATCTTGGACAGCAACTTCTCACGTGAAGGCTGTATGGCCAAGCGATATAGTCTGCTCTCTGCAACAGTTACAGGAATTCTGTAAGGTCTGAAATGCTAAGATCCTTATTTTACTGGCTACAAAAAAAAAAATAAACAAAAATAAAAGAAAAAACACTACTTTCTGGCACCAAACCCTTGCTATTTAGGCCATGTAGAAGTTCATTCTCTTTAAAGTTATGGCAATCCAAAGTACCTAAAATGCCCTATATATTAACTGTTGGCGCTGGGAAAGACAAGAACACCATTGTCAGTAATTTCCAAAGTAATAGTCTTCTAACTGTTAGCAAAAGTCTTCGAGGTTAGTTGGGTAATGCTAACCTATCAATTACAAATTTAGAAAACAGATTCTGGTGTGGCCATACGGTTTCTAAGTTAATTTGTCAAAAACCTACATAAAAACTACATGTGCATTGTATACAAATACAGCAAAGCAGGAGAAAAAGGGATAAAAATCACTTGGAATCTCAAACATCAGAGATAACAGATGGCGAAAGTTGGGATTTTGCATAGTACCTTTCAGACAATCAGACTTATGACAATGGAAAGTAAGGCGATTATCGACCCCATATGGCATGATTACAGTTCTCTTCAAGGCAGCATTTTGCACAGCTATTCGGTCCAACAGGACGTTCTGCCTTCAGGTCAGCCTTGAGAATTTTTCCTGCACTGCTGAGCTGAATATACTCTCCAAAATTCCTGACCCTTGTTACCATACAATTCCTCATACATTTAAAATGGCTAGAAAATTAGTCTACATATATCCACATTTTATTATATATATTAACTAAATTAATATAATTCAACCTTAAATTTCCTCATGTTTAAGAAATCCAGCTCAATAAAAATGAATTTTCTCCAACTTGATGTTTGATACTCAATGCATTTATTTAACTTTTTAGAACAAGAGATCCTCATTAGGCAAATGTAATCAAATACATTTAAGAGATTTTAAAAGATTAAAATAAGTGCATAGTCATAGTAACTTTTCTGAAAGAAATAGAAATAAAAAATATATTTTAACCAAAATCATTCCTCAGTTCCAGTGTGCTGATGAGTTGTAAAAGTGCCGAAGGGTGAAATTAAAGAATTAAAACAAGTGACTTAAAAAGATGGTAATTGTAGTTATAGGCTCTTAGAAAATTATTCATCTTCAGTTCAAAACTTTCAGTGCATGATTCAAGGAGAAAATGAATCAAATCCAAAATTTCTGACAAAAATGCTCAGAACTAGAACTAAAAGAAAATTCTTTCACACGTTGAAAAGAAACTACAAATAATCTGCAGCTAACATTGTTCTTAATGGTAAATAAAATGCTCTCCACCTCACATGAGTAATAAGACAAGGACATCCACTCTCACTATTTCTAACCAGTTCTATTCAACATTACACCAGAGGTTCTGGGAAGTGAAATCAGGAAAGGAAAGAAATAAATGCATCAAGATTGGAAAGGAACTAATAAAACTCTTCACTCACAGCCAACATGACAGTCTACATAGAAAATCCAATGAAATCTACAAAAAGGTACTAGAACTAATACATGAGTTTACTAAGGTGCAGATAAAAGATCAATATGTAAAACCAATTGTATATCTACCTTCTATCAACAATTCATCACAATTTGAAATATTTTTAAATACCATTGATACTTGAATAAACATTTCTCTCATGAGTACATAGAGATGCCAACAAACATATGAAAAGATGGTCACAATCACTAAGCATCAGGGAAATGTAAATTAAAACCACAAAGAGATAATATATTAATTTTTAGAAATTAAACCAAAAAGAGAAAAAAATTCCTACACAAAGTTAACTTAACAGAAGTATTATAATCAACATCTGGGAATATGCCAGGGCTACATTAAAATGCAATAATAATTTTTTAATTGATGAGACTATTGAAAAGTTAGAGTTTATTTATACTTATTTTTTAATTATTCAATAAGAAACACCTGCTTTATCTAATTAGAGCTTTATAAATCCTGCTATATTAATAAAAGGCTTATTTTTTAAGAAATCAAAATCTTGTTTTACAGCTTGACAATTATAATATTTTACTCTTGACTTCTGGTTATTAGCATATATTTCATAATTTTCATAGAAGTTTGGAAATGCAATTCTAATTTATGTTTTTTATTTTTAAGATTTATTGAGTATTTCGTATCAGGGGAAATCTGAAGTACAAGCACCTGACATTTTTAAATATGTCTTATACTTTAACATAGGTAATTCAATTTACATGTTTAAAACCATCAGTCAGTGTAAACTGAATACAAACAAATCTTGCCTCTTCTCGCCATATTTCCTTATTTTATGTAGACAGAAAAATGGTTATGCAGTGCATAAGAAAGCTTCTCAAAGGTAAAATGTAGCTCTCTTATAAATTTCCATGTATTTAATATGTAATTTTTATATGAAATATTGTGAGCTAGAAGCTATAGAGCATACTCAGTGGTATACAATATATTCTCTGCCCACACAGAGTTTATAATCTAATAGAGGAAATAAAAACACATAAGAGTAAAGTCTATAGAACAGATAAAAATTAGTAATGTAATTAAGCTGCCAATCAGTAATTTCTGCAAGTTCAGAGGAGCTAATGTGGTTTGGGATGGTTTCCAGATAGGGGATGAAACTTTATCACATTTTATCATAACTTGCCTGTTCACTCGTCAGATTCCCTGTTACAACATCAGCTCCTGTGCTGTTATAAGCTGAACACTAAAGACATAGGTGCCTAATTCAATCCCTGCACATAGCAGGCACCCACTACATTGTTGATTAGTAATATGCGAATAACTCAGCAAATCTTAAAGGATTTAGGCATGTAAGATTTGAAAACACAGATAAAAGCAATCCAATTTCTGGCAGAGCTAGTGGTGTTAAGCCAAAGCACATTGTTGGAAAAGCAAGAGTGGGCAGGCCAACGTACTTGGAGGACAAGATGCAAACAGAACAATCAGATGAAATAGAATTGAAGTGGTTAAATACAACCCCAGATGAGACTGAAGGAATAACATCAGTAAGCGGCCAAAGAAGACCTAAGCCAGGGTATGGACAGTGAAGAAGGGAACTAGTTGTAACTAATTTTCATTAGAAAGGACAAGCTGTGTTCACCTTGGTAACAGATACAAAAACTGGAAAGACACAGAGAAGATTAGCTTGGACCTTGAGCAGGGATAACATGTAAAGTCATGACATGTTCCATATTTTCTGTAAAAAAGAACTTCCAGCACGTTCTGACTGAGTTGAGGGGGAACATAAAGCGTGGAAAGTCGGGATATCCACATCTTCCTGTGTAGGTGACAGAAATACAGTGGGCGCCTTTTCAACATAGGATGGGAGATAAGTATTGACAGAAAAACTATGTTTTACTATCAAACATAGACTTGTACACATGGAACAAGAAACTTCAAGGAGAAAATGTGAAATTTTAAGGCAGACAATTGGAGAAATCAGAATTAGGTGTATTTTCTCATAGAAAACATAAATCAGAGCTTTTGGCTCAGTCCAGGAGAATAGATCTGAGAATAGTAATATCCATAACAATGAAGAAAACTGGAAATAAACGAAAAGACGATGACTACTGGAAGAAAAATGAAGATACCCAGGATGCCACAGCACCTAGGAGGTCAAAGGGTGGTCTTTAGGTAGGGTTTGATCATGGTGCTGATACCACCAGAAGGTTAAAGAGAAAGAGCTGACCTCCACAGAAGACAGTGGTAACCTGTAAGGATACCATTCAGGGGTGAACACTGGGTTCCTAATTTTAAAGGAGAACAAACAGTGAAGAATTTGAGCAACATAATATGTATATAGTACTGCCTTGAGAAGTATAATAAAACAGAAAATTTTAGTGCTTAGAGATAACAGCAGAAAAAATTGGAGAAGAGTGTGTGTGTAAAATCAGTGTATGTGTGTGTGTGTGTGTGTGTGTGTATAAAATTAATGTGTATCTGTGAGGAAGGAATGCACAGATGGGTAGGAACTGATGTGCATTTTAAACACAAGAAAATACACTGCTAATATGAATTCAAGAGAAAAATAAGCTAATTAGCAAATTGCATAACCAGATGATGACCTCTTGAAAAGTACTTCCTTGACATGTTTGTAGACCTACTTTGTCCAAAATGATAGCCTTTAATAAGCGCATGTGGCTATTTAATTTTAAGTTAATTAATTTAAATTAAGTTTAAATTTTATTTCCTCATTTCAAGTGCTCCAGAGCCGCATGAGACTAGTGGCTAACAAAATGGACAATGCAGATCTAGAATATTTCTCCGATCTCAGAAATTTCAACTGGACAGCATTATTCTAGGTCATAGTCTTTGAAAATATTTAAAGTAACTACTAGTTTTCCTGAAATGAGTTAGTATCATAATGGAATAATACTATTTTTTTTTCAAATACAAGCAAAAGTTCATTTAGAAAGTCACAGAGGTAGAAGTGAGCCATGGAAGATATGGGGCAGCGGAGCTGCCTGGGCTCAGGGAACACGTTACAGGGACAGAAGAAGGACCCTTGGAGCTTAGGAGAAAGAGAGAGGCGAGAAAATGCACCCAGAGCAAAGAGGTGGGGAAAGGTGCAGGCGAGCCAGAGCGGGACGAGTGGCCATTCATCCCCCATGGTCCTTCTTCTCCCAAGTAAGTGTACACACACACACACACACACACACACACACACAGCATTTCACCTTGAAAGTCATAAATCAAAAATCAGAACCAAAATCCAACTTCCATGGAACCATAAGCATTGACTACAAATCACTAGAAATACAATATAACTGGTCAATGTCTTCTTTCTCAGTTGTTTTCCCAACATGCCAATGCACTAAGCATTTTCAGTGAACACTTCACAGACGAGGTTTCCAGCTGGACAGACTGAGGCCTACTGTGAGGAACAGCTATGAAGACCGTCAGGGGCTCTGGTGCACGTCTCTCTATGAAGCCTCTTTCCTAACAGCTGGAGCTCGGCTGCTCCCTCCACATGCACTTCCAGAGTTAGCACTTCCTGTAGTCTCTCTGACAGGTGTCAGAAAGCTCTCCTGGGCTATGTCAAATGCTGGCTGAGAAATCAACCAGGGACCAGACACTGCGTTGTAGATGTGCATTATATATGGAGGTGGTACCTCATCTGATTCAATTATCCATCACATTATGATGGCATACAGGTGCACTTGAATGTCCAATTTTATATTGCTTTTCTGCCAAGGAGCCAAATGAAAAGTATTCAACAAGTCATCTTCTTCGGGTTTCCTTTCTATTGGTGATATAAGTCATTACCGATATTTATTTGTATGTGCTTAGTAATGTCATATTCATAAAGGCATTCAAAGTGAGCTTGAGCAACTCAAGAGATAACCTGAATAATACGACATCACATGTTGAAGAGATGGGAAGGATGATAAACATGGCAGAAGAACTAAGAAGAATTCTACTTTCCCAGCTCCCTGCAGTGGAAGACTAGATTTTTCTGGTACATGATTCCAAATGGAATTCTGTAGTGCATTTTAGGAACTTAACAGGAATAAAGATAGCCAACTATATTTAACAAATTTGAATTATATTTCCTCATGAGTTTACTTTAAATTTTCTCCTTTTTGTCCATTGTGTTGGCTCACTGTACCCAGCCAGGTAAAAATATCCATGTATCTATGTATCAATGTATCTATGTGTAACTTCTACTAATAAAAAGGAACAGGCTCTATGATTCTCTGGAATTATTAGATGATTACGACCGTTCCTGCCTTCTGTCCAATGACTCACATTATTATCCCCAGAAAATTCTTAAGTACTTCCGAAGTTCTCCCTTCCTTCATTTAAGAAACTCATGAAATTCGACATCCTCCAAGAAGGCTTTCTTTCAGTCAGTAGGTTTAGAAAATTGATTTTCTTCACACATATCTTCTACCTTCTGTTATTTCCATTCAGATCACATCTCAACTATATCCACCATTGTCATCAGGTGTCACTAACTCAAGTTATATCATCATACCTCATTTTCATCACAGCACTTACCATTAACAGAGGTAGTGTGTGCATGCGTGTGTGTGTGTGTGTGTGTGTATAAAATATAGCTGTTTATTGTATGCTTCCCTAAATAATTTGAGCTTCATGAAAATAAGGCTTTGCTTATTTTGCTTACCACACTATGCCTGGCACATTATAAGCAGTCAAACATTTATTGAATGGAATCCAACTAAGTCTCTCAATCTAAATTCCAATGCTCAGTAAATTCAGGGGACAGAGATACACATTAAATGATGCCAAGAGGAATCAATCAAGCAAATCAAGAATGTGGATGATTATACATAGTAACTACCTTGAGCTCTTCAAAAAGTCAATATCATGGAGAAAACAGAGTAGAGGAATACTTCTAGATTGAAAGAGACCAAAGAAGCATAAAATCAAAATTATTTGCATGAATCTTAATAAGATCTTCATACGGGGAAAAAGCCACTACAAAAGGACATTCTTGAGAAAAATTCAAATATCTGAGGAGGAATTAGATATTCGGTTATCTATTGTTATTTTCTTAGGAATGACAGTGATATTGTGGTAATTTAGGCAAATGTCCCTATTCTTAAGAGATTCGTGCCGAACTATAGATGAGTAATTTTTTAAATATCTGCAATTTAAACTTCCAAATGGAATGGCAAAACAATGGTGTATACGCATCTGTGTAGACAAAGAGAAAGAAAGAAGTATAGATGGTAAATCTTGAAGAAATTATACAGGTGTTTATTGTACTTCAACTCATTTTCATGTTTTATTATGAAAAATTTCGAAGTTGGGAAAAACAGCAATTGAATAAATGACTAGCTAGAAGAAAGGTAGTGAATTCCCTTTGATTCCAGCCTACCTAATACAAAATGCTCAGGACCTACTATTTCTCCAATTTTTCATAATCAGAAAAATTGTCTGTTGCTCAGTTAGTTGTACAATATGTACTTTATGCCATTTGGTTCACTAATAACCCTCTATGGAATAAGCACCCAGCTGTTGGGATAATGACAATCAATTCATTTCCATTGCCCACACTAGAGTGCCAAACACAGATTAATAAATAATTCAAAGGAACCAAATATGCAGATCAACCGCCCCTTTAGGTTAGTCCTGGGTCCTGAGCACCTAGAGAGAGATCTTAAAACCAGCCCCAGGGGAGCTGGCATGGAAGGAACAGTAGTACAGTTGACATTGTAAAATGAAGTAAGTCTGATTCAGTTCCTAAAAGCTCACACTGCTTTTGGCAAGCCTACCTAAAAACACCATAATCCCTAAAAAGAGTGCCTTGCACGTCCCAAAGGGTCAACTTAAACTTATGCATTCCTCATTTCTTTTGCCTTTCCAAGATTGCTCACTAGACTATGAACGACAAGAAAACAAGAGTTTGACAATTTGTTCATACTGCTATATTATCGGTGCCTAAAAACGAGTGCCCGGAACGTACTAGATAGCCAATCAATGTATGTTGAATGAATTAAGGAGTGAATTCCAGTAGAACAATGTGTCTCTAACTTTAGCATATACCAGAATCAACTTTGAGCACATCTAAAACATTGATAGCTGGGCCTTACCCCAAGAAATTCTGATTCAGTAGTTCTGGGGTATGGCCCAGGGCTCTGCATTTCTAACAAGCTACAGCATAATGCAAATGCTACTGGTCTGGAGACCACAGCCGTGGAATCACTGCTGCAGAAAGTACCTCTAACTTCCCCCTTGCTTCAGATACCTACTGCTTCAAAAGTGAACGCTGTACTAGGCAGCCCTTTTGTATAAGATACTTAATGTACCTCATTGTTTATTTGACAAATAATCTTCTTATGGTATTACAGGAACATTTAAGCTTGAGTTTAGATTACCCAAAATTCAGACTCATTCCCATCAATCAAGCCAAATATTTACCAGAAGTATTTTTCCCCCTGCCAAGGGAAGCCAGAATTCCCAATTAGCAGCTCAGCGTACTACTCCTCCAGCTCATATTTGCGTATTTGGAACAAGGCTGGGAAGATACACACTATCTTTTTGCTGCACAATTGCTCCGCGAAGCATGTCTGCCCCCAGAGAAATCAGGTGCCTTGCGCATGGCAGAGATTTATGTTAAAGAAAGTCTGTTTATGAGAGATGAATGTGTACCCAAATTTATCTCCCAGTGACAACTTTGGAATCTAAAACATTTTCAACTTCTCCCCTTGTGAGTTGCTTGGAACTGCTA